TCTATTTGAATTGAAGGAAATAGAGAAAAAGAGAAAGAAAAAAATTTTCTTTATTTAGTTATAAAAAAAATTAACAGAAGGGAAGGGAAACATTTTTCTTTACTATATTTTGTCTGTTCAATTTAATTATTTATCTAAATAAACAATTCATTCTCCTCCACTTAAATATAAGATAAAAATAATAAAATATTAATTAAAATTAATTACAAGTTATAAATTTATATTTTTAAATAAAATACCATATAAAAAAGGTTTTTCAAAAGTTTTGAGAAACGAAGCCTAACCTAAACATATCCTAAATCTTTATTAAATTATTAATATATTTTTTTAACTGAACTGATGGTAAGAATTTTCTTATTAATTTAGGGCTAAAATTGATATTGGTCCAAATGCATCAAGAAAGATTAAATCAGCCTTCCGTAATAATCCGTATTTCTTTAGGTTCTATTATTCCCTTCAACTTATGTTAATGTCCACATTAGTCAAGAAATTTTTGATATATATAATATTATTGAGAGTCAAATTTGTTGTCATACCCCAAAAATTATAAGAACAATTAAGTGTGCGTTAGGGACCTAATTGTGAGAAAATAATATTTTTGAGCTTAATCATCAAATTCTTAAATTTGAGGGACTTAAAAGAAAAAAATTTTGGATAAGGATGGGCTGATTCTTTTTTCTTCTTTCTTCTTCCTCAACTGTGTGTTTCTGCTTGTTTTTCTTCTCGCCTACAGCCGAACAAGAGGCCAAGCATCGACACATCACCCACTTGAAAAAACCAGTAAGAAAAGCTTGATTTTCCCTTCTTTCTTGTTCAAGAACAAGATTTGGAGCCTTGAAACCTCCCCCCCCCCCTGTCGGAAAATTTCCAGATCTGCTCTGCTCTGTTCCTTCCGTCCATGCCCTGCTGTGTGTGTGGGTGTGAATTTTCCAAATTTTTTATAAGAAACAGCCACCAATTCCTCTGTTATTCCTTGAATTGGCTTGGGTTTACTCTAATTTCTTTTGATTCTCCCAATTTTTGGTAGATTCCCCAAAATTTTTCTGCACTTCTCGTCGGCCTCCCCAACCCACTGCTCTGGTTTTTGCTTGCTAAAATTCTAGTATGTGACAACTTAATCTAAGTCCAAATTACCCCTTTAGTTGCTGAATTTGGTCCATTTATTTACTACCCTTGTGTTGTCCGAATTTTTGCTGAAATAGGGGAGGAATTCCGGTAGTAATTAGGACAATTTAAGCATTAATTTAGGTAGAATTTATGTGATTGAGTGTTAATTAGTTGCTGTGAGGTTCGGGAGGAAAAAAATCCCGTGAATTAGCCATTGATTGGCCAAGGCCGGTTCCTCTATGTTGTTGTCCGTGAATTGGAGAAATTGATATAGGTGTGTTTATGTATATATATATAAATGCACAATTTGGTTTTTGTGCTCAATTTCAGATAGAAAAAAAAAAAAAAGATAAATAAATAAATGATATTTCTTTATGGGATTAATGGCAGGCAACAATTGGAAGGTTTAAATGTTTAGTTTATATTGAGAATAAAATTGAGATGTCCTGTCATGTGGTTATTAATTTTAGAATATTTTGGTTTGGTTCTTGATTGTTCTGTCACCCCAGCACTTGGAGTGAATTTTTTGTATTATGTGATTGAGATAAGTAAATTATGGTAACGCCCTTCAATTTCAAAGTAAAAGTATATTTTAAATTGTTTTTAAGATAGTGACAAGGTTTAAATTGATTTTATTAGCACTAAGCATAATTGGCTTGAAATGGAATTATTATCATTTTCATTGAGTAGAGTATGCCTACTTGGAGTTTACTTAACTGCTCTAATGATCTGAGAATTTTTGTAAATTATGATTTTCCTGTTAAATCCATGCCCACATGGAATTTTTCTGGTTTATTCTTGAAATTTGAGATTGATTTTGAATTACAGATTTTCCTGTAAATCCTGCATGGTTTTGTCTCTAATATAGTCATGATTACTGATTATTGACCCCCGCTAGTGGGAGTTTGAAACGCTAACACATGTCAACATGTTTACCGATAAGACCGATTCATTCTGTAATCCTGCCAATGGGATAATACATTGGTTACTACTGAAATCCTGTTAATGGGATAATACATTGGTTATTACTGCCACTTGTCAGTGGGAGTTGTTAAACACTAGTCATGACTTATAGATGAGACTAATACTGAATTTTATTCTGCATTAACGGTTTATCATTGAATGCTTTATTATTGACTTATAGATGAGAATACTATTAAATCTTATTCTGCGTTAACGGTTTACCATTGAACGTTTTGTTATATTAAATTTTTTATCAGGCATGCTTAAATTTTTACTCACAAACTATTAATATTTTTACTTACTGAGATAGCTTATCTCATAGTTTTCCTTGTCCACCATTTCAGGAAGTGAGACCTGAGACACAATTAACCAAGGGGAGTGACGAGCTAGACGGCTAATCAATATTTTGGACTTAGATCCTTTTGGGTTTAGGCCGTTAGCCATACATGCTTGTCATAGATGTGAAATGACAAATCATTTTTTTTTTTTTGGTATACTAAGTTTCCCTTGGTTATAGTCATGACTGTTTTATAAATTTTTGTACATCTAGACTAGCAAATTTTTGGTAATTCTGAGCATAATAAGTTTCGAGCCTAGTGCATTTATGGACCCGTTTACGAGTGCACGGCGTCTGTTTCGCTCCTGGTTTTGGGCCGTGATAGATTTTGTGGTATCAGAGCCTAGGTTTAAATTAAATACCTAGGATTTGTTTAGAACTTGGCTAGCCAATGGATTATAGGAACGTGTTGAGGCATGAAAGTGGGGTTAATTAAGGGCACTTGTTTGATTCTTCTTTAATATGTGTTGGATTTTAAGTATATGGTTTTGGTCCCGGAAGTGGAAACTTGCCGGGAAATTGTAATTTAGGGCACTTGATTAATAGTCTATGAACCTTCTATGTGGTTATAGATGGCTCCAAAACGGCGTGGGCACCCGAGGGGTGGCTATAAGGATCAGGTGCATCACACTCTTTTATAGCTCGATTTTATGCTTTGAAATGAGCCTTACCTATTGATACTTTTGATTTTGAACTACATGTGGACACCCCTTTAAGAGGGGTGATGACTACTAGAGATGTGTGTAGGACTGTAGATGTTTATATTGATGGTAGACAATTGAGTGCTAGTCTGTTTGTTTTAGATATCTCTGATTTTGGCATCATTTTGGGGATGAATTGGCTGTCAAAATATTTTGCCCTTATAGATTGCAACCGTAAATGGGTGATTTTTAATATTCCTGGGGAGCCAAAATTTAGTTTCCAAGGCAGTGGTTCCTTTGCTCCAACCATATTGATATCAACTTTGCAAGCTCAGAAATATCTTATAAATGGTTGCTAGGGTTTCTTAGTTTCTGTCATTGATGCTAGTAATGTGACGTTGAGACTAAAAGACATCCTTGTGGTGTGTGAGTTTCTGGATGTATTTCTAGAGGATCTCCCAAGGTTACCTTCAGATAGGGAGATTGAATTTGCTATTGATCTTGTTCCTGGCACCAGACCTATTTCCAAAGCCCCGTACCATATGGCTCTTGCGAAGTTGAAGGAGTTAAAGGTCCAGCTGGAGGAACTCCTTGAGAAAGGGTTTATACGGCTTAGTGTGTCACCTTGGGGAGCTCCAGTGTTGTTTGTTAAAAAGAAGGGTGGGAGCATTAGACTGTGCATAGATTACCGAGAACTGAATAAGGTGACTGTGAAGAACTGATATCCCCTTCCTAGAATTGATGACTTGTTTGATCAGTTTAAGGGTGCCCAAGTGTTTTCTAAGATTGATCTTCGATCTGGCTAACATCAGTTGAAGATTAAACTTGATGATGCGCCAACGACTGCCTTTCGTACCCACTATGGCCACTATGAATTCCTGGTTATGCCTTTTGGCTTAACAAATGCTCCTACAAGATTTATGGATTTGATGAATTAGGTATTTAGCAAGTACCTAGATAAGTTTGTGGTTGTCTTTATTAACGACATTTTGATTTACTCTTCTAGCCATGCTTTTCATGAAAAGCACTTAAGGACAGTTCTCAAGACATTGAGAAGTGAGAGGCTGTGTGCTAAATTTAAGAAGTGTGAATTTTGGCTAGATAGTGTTGCATTCCTAGGTCACGTTGTGACTAAGGATGGAATCTCCATTGACCCCCAAAAGATTAAGGCCGTGGTGGATTGGAAAAGGCTGAATAGTGTTGCAGAAGTCCATAGTTTTCTGGGATTGGTTGGTTATTACCATCGATTTGTGGTGGATTTCTCTAGAATTGCTCTGCCAATGACCTGTCCGATTAGGAAGGACGCCAAATTTGAGTGGGCTCCAGAGTGTGAGAAGAGCTGTTTGACTCTTAAAGAGAAACTGGTCACTGCTCTTGTACTCGCACTTCCCATCAATGGGGAAGGATTCATTATATATAGTGATGCCTCTAAAAAGGGTTTGGGATGTGTCTTGATGCAAAAAGATAAGGTTATTGCATATGCTTCACGACAGTTAAAGCCTTATGAAGAAAATTACCCTACCTATGATTTGGAGTTGGCAGCTGTGATATTTGCACTCAAGATTTGAAGGCATTATCTATACGGTGAGACCTGTGAAATTTTCACCAATCACAAGAGTCTCAAGTATATTTTCACTCAAAAGGAGCTTAACATGAGGCAGAGGTGATGACTTGAACTTTTGAAAGATCATGACTTGACCATTAGTTACCATCCAGGCAAAGCTAATAACGTAGCAGATATGTTGAGTAGGAAGTCCTCTAGCACTGCCTCTAGCATCCTTGCCACCCAAAAGGAGTTACTTAAGGATCTTGTGAAACTGGATGTGGAGTTGAGAGTGGACAGTACTACAACTTATCTAGCTACTTTCAGTGCACAACCGACATTAATTGATAGAATTAAAGTTGCCCAACAAAAAGATCCTTTCTTGCAAAGGTTGAAGGAAAAAGTAAAGACGGGGGAACCCCACACGCAAGAATTTAGAGTGTCTAACGATGAGACTCTGCGGTTTGGTGATAGGTTGTGTGTACTAAGAGATCATGCTTTAAGGCGTGAGATTATGGGAGATTCCTATAATACTAGTTACACAGTTCACCCAGGTAACATTAAGATGTATCGTGACTTGCATAGTATGTTTTGGTGGCGGAATATGAAGTGGGAGATAGCTAGATTTGTCTCACAATGCTTGACTTGCCAGAAAGTCAAGGCGGAACACCAAAGACTTCTTGGGAAGCTGCAGCCGTTACCTATTCCCCAATGGAAGTGGGAGAATATCACCATGGACTTTGTGACAGGTTTACTGCGAACCTTAAAGGGAAATGATTCCATCTGGGTCATCATTGATCGATTGACCAAGTCAGCACATTTCTTACCTTACTGGACTGGCGCATCCATTGAGAAGCTTGCCAATATGTACATGAATGAGATAGTTAGGCTGCATGGAGTCCCTGTGTCTATTATGTCAGATAGAGATACAAGATTCTTATCTCATTTTTGGACAAACTTGCAGCAGGCACTTGGTACTCAATTAAATTTCAGCACAGCCTTCCATCCTCAAACTGACGGGCAATCTGAGAAAACTATTCAGATACTGGAGGACAAGTTGAGGGCTTGTGTTCTAGATTGGAAGGGTTCATGGGATCAACATTTATCCATGGCTGAATTTGCCTATAATAATAGTTACCAGTCCAGCATCTGCATGGCACCGTTTGAGGCTTTGTATGGTCGAAGGTGTAGATCACCTGTTTGCTAGGCAAAGGTAGGCGAAAGAAGCATTTTGGGCCTAGAATTGGTGCAATAGTCTTCTGAGATTGTGCAATTGATCAAGGAACACCTTCGTGCTGCACAGAGTAGGCAGAAAAGATATGCGGATAGAAAGAGATGAGACCTTGAGTTTAAAGTCAATGACCATGTATTTTTGAAGGTGTCACCCACTCGAGGTGTTCTCAGGTTTGGCATCCAGAGAAAATTGAGTCCAAGGTATATTGGACCATATCCTATTCTAGAAAGGGTTGGTGAGGTAGCTTACCGATCAGAGTTATTTGGAAATTTAGCGAGTGTTCATGATGTGTTCCATATGTCTTTACTTCGGAACTATATTCTTGACCCGAGCCACCTCATTGATCCTAAACCCATTCAGCTTCAAGAAGATCTCACTTATGATGAGTACTCGATCCGTATTTTAAATTTCAAGGAGAGGGTAATGTGGAAAAGGACTTTGGGATAAGCATTCGGTTAAAAAGGCTATTTGGGAGCTAGAATCCAAGATGAGGCAGGAACATCCGCACCTCTTCCAAAATTGAAGTATGAGTTTCGAGGACAAAAGTCCTTTTTAGAAGGGGTGGATGTCATATCCCAAAAATTTCTAGAACAATTAAGTGTGAGCTAGGGATCTAATTGAGAGAAAATAATATTCTTGAGCTTAATCATCAAATTCTCAAATTTGAGGGACTTAAAAGAGAAAAAAATTTGGATAAGGATGGGCTGATTTTTTTTCTTCTTTCTTCTTCCTCAACCGCGTGTTTCTGCTCATTCTTCTTCTCCCCTACAGCCGAACAAGAGGCCAAGCACCAACACATCACCCACTTGAAAGAACCGATAAGAAAAGCTTGATTTTCCCTTCTTTCTTGTTCAAGACCAAGATTTGGAGCCTTGAAACCTCCCCCCCTGTAGGAAAATTTCTAGATCTGCTCTGCTCTGTTCCTTCCGTCCGTGCCCTGCTGTGTGTGTGGGTGTCCATTTTCCAAATTTCTAGTAAGAAACAACCACCAATTCCTCTGTTATTCCTTGAATTGGGTTGGGTTTACTCTAATTTCTTTTGATTCTCCCAATTTTTGGTAGATTCCCCAAAATTTTTCTGCACTTCTCGCCGGCCTCCCCAACCTATAGCTCCGGTTTTTGCTTGCTAAAATTCTGGTATGTGACAGCTCAATCTAAGTCCAAATTACCCCTTTAGTTGCTGAATTTAGTCTATTTATTTACTGCCCTTGTGTTGTCCAAATTTTTGCTGAAATAGGGGAGGAATTCTAGTAGCAATTAGGACAATTTAAGCATTAATTCAAGTAGAATTTATGTGATTGAGTGTTAATTAGTTGCTGTGAGGTTCGAGAGGAAAAAAATCCCGTGAATTAGCCATTGATTAGCCAAGGCCGATTCCTCCATGTTGTTGTCCGTGAATTGGAGAAATTGATATAGGTGTGTTTATGTATATATATATATATATAAATGCACAATTTGGTTTTTGTGCTCAATTTCAGATAGAAGAAAAAATAAGGACAAATAAATAAATAAAGAAATAAGATTTCTTTATGGGATTAATGGCCAGCAACAATAGGAAGGTTTAAATGTTTAGTTTATATTGAGAATAAAATTAAGATGTTTGGTCATATGGTTATTAATTCTGGAATATTTTGGTTAGGTTCTTCATTGTTCTGTCACCCCAGCACTTGGAGTGAATTTTTGTATATGTGATTGAGGTAAGTAAATTATGGTAACACTTTTCGATTTCAAAATAGAAGCATATTTTAAATTGTTTTTGAGATGGTGGCAAGGTTTAAATTGATTTTATTAGCACCGAGCATGATTGGTTTGAAATGGAATTATTATCATTTTCATTGAGTGGAGCATGCCTACTTGGAGTTTACTTAACTGCCTTGATGATCTGAGAATTTTTGTAAATTATGATTTTCCTGTTAAATCCATGCCCACATGGAATTTTTCTAGTTTATTCTTGAAATTTGAAATTGATTGTGAATTACGGATTTTCCTGTAAATCCTGCATGGTTTTGTCTCTAATATAGTCATAATTACTGATTACTAACCCCCGCTAGTGAGAGTTTGAAACGCTAGCACATGTCGACATGTTTACCGATAGGACCAGTTCATTCTGTAATCCTGGCAATGGGATAATACATTAGTTATTACTGCCACCTGCCAGTGGGAGTTGTTAAACATTGGCCATGACTTATAGATGAGACTACTATTGAATTTTAGTCTGCATTAATGGTTTATCATTGAACACTTTATTATTGACTTATAGATTAGACTACTACTGAATTTTATTCTGCATTAACGGTTTATCATTGAACGCTTTGTTATTAATTTATAGATGAGACAATTACTAAATCTTATTCTGCATTAACGGTTTATCATTGAACATTTTGTTATATTAAATTGTTTATCAAGCACGCTTAAATTTTTACTCACGGGCTATCCATATTTTTACTTACTAAGATAGCTTATCTCATAATTTTCCTTGTCCATCATTTTAGGAAGTGAGATCCGAGACACGATTAACCAGGGGGAGTGACGAGATAGATGGCTAGTCAGTATTTTAGACTTAGATCCTTTTAGGCTTAGGCCGTTAGCCACACATGCTTGTCATAGATGTGAATTTTTTTTTTTTTTTTTGTATACTGAATTTTCCTTGGTTATAGCCATGATTGTTTTATAAACTTTTGCACATTTGGACTAGCAAATTTTTGGTAATTATGAGTATAGTAAGTTCCGAGCGTTGTGCATTTGTGAAACCAATTCACGAGTGCATGACGTTTGTTTTGCTCTTAGTTTTGGGGTGTGACATTTGCAAAGGTAATTTTGAGGTCCAACAAAAATTCAATTGCTACAGGGTGTTCTAGGAGTTAATGAAAATTAGCTTGAGATATACTATTGCACTTGCAAATATTTTTTTCCTGATCAACCAATAAAAATTTATTATTTTGAAGTATAAAAAATAATCTTACAAATACACTTATACAAAATTTTAAACTTTCTTACTCTAACAATTCTTTTGTTTTTTTTTACCTCAACCAAAATTTTGTTATTGCACTTGCAAATATTATTTTCTTATGGTACGTAAATAATTTTTTTATCCAATACCATAAATCTTAATAAAATTAAAAAAATTAATTATTAAATAATATTTAAAATTATATAAAAAACGTATAATAAAGTTGTCTATCAATTGTTTTTTTCCTTAATAGTAATTTCATTAATTTATCATATCATTATCGATGAAATAGCAAAAGGGCTGATTCGACTTTTGCTTTTAGTATTTTTTATTTATTTATTGGTTTAACGTGCAAGGTGTTTTTGAATCAATTTTTATGTAATATAAAATTAATTTGTTTTAATTTAATTAAAAATAAATCATTGAGCTCAAAAATTTACAATTTTTTAAAAAATTATCTCTTTAAAAAAATTAAATTTTAATTAATAAGATCAAAATTAAATTCCACTTCCAACAAAGTTACAACTCATTAGCTGTTTCTAGGGATTTTGGGCAAAGGAAAATGAAACTAAGATTGCATGTTCATGTTGCAATTTGGGCGGGACATATTGCTAATTTCATTAACTAGTAGATATATCTGCCTATGATATCAACATTAGTGGGGGAATACAGTATGCACGACAATATCAACTGATCCATTTTTCGAAGAGGAGCTGTGTTGGCACTAATTGGGTACTCCGCTTCATCTCTTTCGGTTTACTAGCACCACATATAGCCCACAAATAATTAATAGTCCTCCTAATATGCTGCATATAACAAAAGAATTGTAACATATAACTAAATAAAAGTTGAATGCAATATGGTAATTAATTGAATTTTCTTAAGAATATTAAGAATGAACTTAATTTACCTTCCCTTGTGTAGTTCTCATCAAGCAACAAAGATGCCACGATGGCTACGAAGATGAGCATAAGACAATAGAAAATAGTAGCAGAGGGGACCTTTCCTATACGTGCCCCACCGGGTAAGCTAGGGGGGTCCTGGGATCTGGACCAAAACCCCTCCTAAATTTTGAAAGATTATTAATATATATAGTCCACTAAAAACTTTATTTTTATTATTTTTATTTTTAAATTTCTGCATTGTTTATACCATTAGAGAATATTCTCTCTTGATTATATTCACATTATAATTAATTTACATAATTAGATTAATTGATTTTATACTACAAAATATTCTCTTGTACAAACCTATAAATAGGCACTTTGTATATTCAAATGAATCAAGAAAAAGTATCATTTTTCTTCATATTTTTCTCTCCTACCTTGTTTTCTCACATGGTATCAGAGCTACTAAGCTCTTTTACCTCTTTTCACTTTTTGATTTTCTGCTTCTAGTTTGCATCGACAGTATTGTGATATACTATTGTTTTCATCCAGTATTGTTCCAAGTTTCTTGTTTTTGCTTTGATTGTGTCCACTTGGCCAACATTGTGCATTCAGAATTGCTTTCCGACAGTTAACTGTTACTGCCCAATTCTGCATCAGTCTCTTTTGATTCGGTCAGATTTCTTTACATAATATCTTTATTTTTTCATGGAGAAATTTGATATTTCACACCCAATATCAACTACTCTCAAGGGCTCAAATTACATACTCTGGGCTCAAAGTATGTGTAGTTTTTTAAAGGGTCGAAAATTATGGCGGTATATTACTAGTGACATTACACTTCCACAGAAGGTTGCTGATGAGACAAATAAGTATGTTGACCGTTTAGAGGATTAGGATAGCAAAAATCATCAGATCATCACTTGGTTTCGCAACAACTCAATTCCTTCCATTCACCTTCAATTTGGACAGTATGAAACAGCTAAGGAAGTGTGGGATTTACTTTCAACAAGGTATACCACTTCTAATTTATCTAGTCAATATCAATTGTGGGAAGAGTTACACAATTTGAAACAAGAACAAGGAGAGTCCGTTACTAGTTTTTATGTTAACATGGAGGCTATTTGGGATCAACTTGCTCTCTTAGAACCAACTTTCAACGACACTGCTGATATTTGGAAGTACATTGAGTATCGTGACAAAATGAGGTTAATTTAATTTCTTATGGCACTTATTGATGATTTTGAACCATGCAGAGCCTTTTTATTGCATCAGTCTCCTTTACTTACCTTGGATAGTGCTCTCTCACGATTATTATCTGATGAAACTCGTCTGGGCTTACTTAAGCCTCAACGAGATAATATTGTCGCTATAGCTATTAATAAGTTTCCTTCGAGTAAGAGAGGATAGAAGCATTATCGTCACTACAACAAATACGAAGATGCTATATATGAATGCAGTCTAGTAGAATGTCACAAATGCAAGCAAAAAGGCCATATTGCTCTTAATTGTACTACTTCACTACCTCAAAAGTCTGATATGTGGAAGACTCAATCAAAGCCTGATCAGTCTTCCAAGCCTGTGGTTGCTGCAGCTGCTGCCAATGAGGATACCTCAGTCCATCCTTCGCTTGGTAATCTAGAAACTCTTCTTAGACAAATGATATCATCTTCCTCTACATCTACTGCCTTGCCTACCACCCCAAGTAAAGTTTCTTGGATTTTTTACTCTAGTTGTTGCAACCATATGACTTCAAACTCTAAAATTTTTTCTACATTAACCCCTAATACCACTACACCTGCAATCCATACTATTGATGGTTCACAAATGCAAGTTAGCCAATATGGTCAAGTTTCTACTTCTACCCTTACCTTACCAAACACTTTCCTAATACCAAAACTTACTTTCAATCTTATTTATGTGGGACAACTGTGTGAACTTGGTCTTGAACTAATATTTTCTACTAATGGTTGTCATGTGCAGGATCCACAGATGGGACAAATTCTTGGGATAGGCCGTAAAGTTGGACATTTGTTTGAGCTCACCTCCTTGCACATCCCTTCTAGTTACATTTCCCAGTTGTGTGCAGTCTTAACATCTTCCTCTTTACACTTGTGGCATCTTCATCTTGGTCATGCCTCTATTAGTAAACTTTGTCCTTAATTCAAAATGGGTCTCTAGGTTCTGTTAAAGAAGAGTCTTTACATTGTGTCTCATGTCAAGTTGCTAAATAGCCTGCTTTATCTTTTAATAAAAGTGATTCCATTTCACTTGCACCTTTTGATTTAATACATTCTGATATATGGGGGCCATCTCCCACTCTTACCATGGGTGGTTCAAAATATTTTGTGTTATTTGTTGATGATTATTCTCACTTCACTTGGCTATATTTGATGAAGAAACGCTCAGAAATACCTCAAATTTACTTTGAGTTTGCTAATATGATAAACACTCAATTCTCTAAAATTATCAAAGTCTTAAAGACTGATAATGCTCTTGAATATCTTGATTCTAAATTTTAGTCTTTTCTTAAAGAGTAGGGCACAATACAACAAAGATCTTGTCCATATACCTCTCAACAAAATGGGCGGGTTAAGCGTAAACATAGTCATATTTTGGACTTAGTTCGTGCTCTCCTAATTTCCTCTTCATGTCCTAAGCATTTTTGGGGTGAAGCTGCACTTACAACAATCTATGTCATAAATTGAGTCCCATCCACTGTCACACAAAATAAATCTCCCTATGAGTTTCTCTACGGTATTCTTCTTGCCTATGATCTTCTTAAAATTTTTGGTTGTGCTTGTTTTGTTCTTTTACCTTCTCATGAACATCACAAGTTAGAGCCTCGAGCTTGACTTTGTTGTTTTATGGGGTATGGGATACATCATAAAGGTTATCATTGTTGGGATCCAATATCACAAAAGCTCTGTGTCTCTCGTCATGTTGTTTTTTGGGAACATAATATGTTTGCTTCTCTTTCTGAATTCAAGGTGTCTCCTTCTCATCAAACTCCTATCTTTACTAATCCATCCCTTGAGTTATTTCCTAGTGATGATGCAAGGTCTCCTAATGAGCTTTCAAATGATCAAACTACCACAGCTCCTATTTTAGAAGATGTCTCTTCTACGGATATTGCAACTAGAACAAATGAGATTGAAAATTCACCAATTGCTTCCTCTTCCAGTCATCCTACTCGAGTAAGAAATCCGCCTACATATCTTTAAGATTACCATTGTTTTTTTTGCACTTACCTGTTTACATGAACCTTAGTCCTACAAGGAAGCTTTTTTAGATCCTTTATGGCAGCAAGCTATGAAAGAAGAATTACAAGCTTTGGAAAAGACAAGTACTTGGGACTTGCTTGATCTTCCTACTGATAAGACTCTTGTTGGATGCAAGTGGGTATACAAGATCAAAACCCATTTTGATGGATCTATGAAGCGCTATAAGGCACGCTTGGTGGCAAAGGGTTTTACACAAGAATATGGCATTGATTATGAAGAGA